ACACTGTTGAAATTGTAGAGGTGCTTGGCACAAGAGAGACTTCGATTAATATTTATATTAAATTGTATTGATATGAGTAATCAGTAATAATGTGAAAGACATTAATGCAACTCCTAGTGCGACCGTCTGTCGTGTTGGGGGGGGGGGTGTTTGCAACCTCTGAATGGGTTACAATGATTATTATGTATATATATAATGTATATTATCTTTTCATATAATTTTATATTGCTTATATTTGCGATAGCTAAATCGTAAATATATTGCTTTATATTCTTATTTGACTTATGTTGTTAGGATGTACATAATATGTGCTCAGTTCAAGTCTTGATTGTCAAACTACTGTAATTATCTCTTGTCGCTCGTTATATTGCCGGCTTCTCGCTGGGTGACTGCTGCCCACGGAGCTATCACGTGATCGAGGGGGGGGTGTCCTCACCTCTCGTGAAGTATTCAGTCTGCTCTAGACTCGCTTGGGGTTGGACAGATTGTCTGTCTCATTATTCTTGTTAGTTCTGTAGAAATCTGTTCACAGAACATTGTATAGACTTAGTGATTTTCGACGTTGTACTGAGGTTGTGTGTCGCTTAGACACTCTGAACATCTCAGGTCCTTAGCTATAGCTTCTGACCTAATTTTGTACTGGTTTCTGTGTATTGTCACAGTCAGGGTTTTTCCTATGCTGAACTTAGATTCAGTAGTATAGGAGTTCTGTAACTTTTGTGGAGGATCTGCTGATGGTCCCTACTTAGTGTCGTTATATTATCTCCCAGTTCCTGATTCTGTGTCGCAGTCGCTTGTTATTGCATTGCTATTGGGCTTAGCATTCTTTGTTGTTCAAGCAGACTGTTCGGGTTGCCAGTCGGTCAAGAAGTTAGTTTATTTGAGGACTTTGTCAGTCACTTGTTTAAGTCTATTCGAGTCTTGAGACATAGCGAACTACTTAAGAGCACTTACACACATACACACTTGTACATATTTGTAATATCTTATTAAATGTTAATGTACCAGACGGTACTTAAGAATTATAAATGTGATATGTGCTTTCAGCACAATAATATTGAACTCGAGAGACTGATTTTATTTTGATTGCTGTGATTAATTTAATTTAATTTAATTTGATAATATACCTCTAGACTTAATAAATTTATTAAATTTTAATTTCTCTAGTTAGTAGCCTACCAGTTGTAATCCTGAAGCACTATTGAATAATACTGAATTTTAATGGATAATTGGACAAGGATACTGACTACTTGTTACGAAAACCCAGTAACAGGCTGGATGCTAGAAGGGCAGTCCTTTCTAGTATTCACACATTGACAAAGTCACAAAGTGACTTTGTCAATGTGTGGGTTATTTGTGTGCTGTGTTGATGATATTGCGTATCATCCAGTCAGTGAGCGGATGGAGTTCAAACCCATGACCCGTGAGTCCTACAACTCACAGCTTAATTTGTAGTCGTGTTATTGTAGCATGTTTATGTCCCGGCCAGGGAGGCAACACCCGGCCACGGAGGCGACACCCGGCCAGAGAGGTGACACCCAGCCAGAGAGGCGACAGGGGCATGAGCCCACACATCTGTATCCCGTGACGTCACACAAAGCCACAGGCCTACAAGGGATCTCGTGTCTAAAGCACATGGATGATGCTAATATGCTATGCTATATAATACTGGGAATACAGGGATCAGCAACTATGCTGACAGCGACACCCGGCCAGGGAGGCGACACCCGGCCAGGGAGGCGACACCCGGCCAGGGAGGCGACACCCGGTCAGGGAGGCGACACAAGGACATCAGTGGAAATAATTCACTTTTGTTGGATTTCTGTTTTTTTTTTTTTTGAGTGATAACCCGGGTAATTAACACGACGGTTAATATGTAAGATAATTGTAATATTCTAAAATTATGTTGTATGACCATGTGGGTTTAGCGTTTGGTTAAAATAATAATAATAATAATAATAATAATAATAATAATAATAATAATAATAATAATAATAATAATAATTGTGTTAGCTATCTAAATAAACTTACGATATAATGTTCACACAGGAAACTGAACTTGTACTTTTCCTTGTATGGAACTTGGGTGTCTCCTCTGCCCATGCTCTGTATGATCCATACGGGTTGAACGCTTCTGCCTGGTTATAGTAATGTTGTTTATGTTTTATGCTGGTGTTGTGTACGGTGTTTGTGCTCAGGAGTCAAGGCACAGCTCCTGGCCCTCTCCTCTTAAGTAAGTAATGACTGTTGACTTCTTGGACGTTATCGTACCAACACTTTAAATTATTCCTGACCTCAACTTGTGGAGTCGATTCAGAGCTCCTGGTCTTGACTTTTATCAGATTTTTTTTTTATCCAGGTCATACCACTTTCTGACTACCTTGACACTGACGCAATATTCGTACTTCATCTGTTTGACTTTCAGCTGTACCCTTGTGTACCCATTTCTAACCCCTTAAACAGTCTTTTCCATTCCATCCTGTCAAGTTCTCTGACTATGTTGCACGTCATAAGGCCTTTTCTGGTACTACTATCTAATATTGTCAAGTTCTTAATAGTTCATTCCTCTTAGCTTTTGGACTGTTCTTGTGGCAAACCTCTGTACTTTCTCCATATTCCTGACATACTTTATCAGGCATGAGTGGGTAGGAGTTAGTGTGGGTAAGGGAGAGTGTAAGAGGAAAAGTAAAACCACAGCTCAATAAGTTTCTGCTAAAAAGTCAGTCAGTGTCGAAGGCGGAACTTTCAGCGAGGAGGTCAGTGTTTGGGGAGGCAGAGACGACGGAAGTGAGTTCTGTGTGCCTGTTGATTTGGGTGGACAATTTAATAAGGTATGTTGAACTGGCAGTGTAACCCGACAGTCCTGGCAGAGCGGTGCCTGGTATTTTTCCATTATACTCTGTAAGCGAGGAGCATGTGCCGATGTGCAGACGGAGAGTGCTGTCTCCCAAACATGACAGCAGTGGAAAAAGAAGGCTGGAAACTTAAATGTGGTTTGACAGAAAATATTTTGTTGTTGACCAACTCTGATCAACGTTCTTGCCATCGGTTGTGGAGTTGTTGAGAGATCACTCAAAAATAATCAGCGACTGAGGACTCCGATTGTTTATACTTCTTCATATGAAGTCAAGAATTTTAAGTAACTTTATTGCGAATACTTATACACTGCACTGTTGTCTAGTTTTAGATAATTGCTAACTACTATAGAACTCCTAAATCTTTTTCATATTTAGTTTGATTGAGATCTATAATATTTAGTTTATTAGTACCATGATTAGTTTCTTTTCCTAGGATTAGAAAGTTACATTTGTCTACATTAAACATCCTCCGCCACTTCTTACAACTACTGCATCAACCTACACGGATCTTCCAGTAGCGCTGCCATGTACCAGTCAGAATTTATTTGATGTATTTTTTTTAGAATCATCGCAGACTTATGTCCTATTTATTTCCTCATCAAAGTCGTTTATGTATATTATGAAAGGATCCAACACTGACCCCTGAGGAACCTCACCAGTATCACGTCTCCATTCTGATTTCTCCCCATTTACGTAAACTCTCCTTTTGCCCACCGGTCAGTCGAAAGAAAACATCTAAAGTAAATCTACTTTTATTTGTATTTTTTAACATTTTAATACATTATTTAATGGCCACTTGTAGGCTTTTGTTGTCCATCTGTACACACACAAAAATCATTCATTTTCTTCCAGCTCATATAAATCACTTGACAAAAATTTAGTTCACATTTTGCATATTGTTCAGAAACATAAAAACACCTATGAAATAACACAAGTGTGATCTAGGTGATGTTCAATCTGCAGATGTTGAAAGCATTTTCTTTGTGTTTGTTCACGCAAACCCACCGTTTACACATCCGCCGGGGCATCAATGATCTTACTAGATGCTGGTTTGCAAAAAATATTGCGGCTCAAATGTCTAGGGGTTGTCAGCTCTTATGAGTTGCAACATCTTGGAGTTGAACATCTGAGCTGCACGTTTTGTGAGCTCCACAAAACAGTGCCAGGTGTTAACCATCAACAATCGTCACGGGGGTGAAATTGTGTATTTGGGATTGATGTTTGAGCTTCAGTTTGTGTGGTAACGAAGCTTAACGACCTCTTTTTAAAAAAAATTCTACGACCCCACCATAAGAGGATCTACGACCCACCTTAAGAGGATATAAGACCCAAATCTTAAGGGAACTACGACCCATCTTAAAAGGATCTACGACCCACCTTAATAGGATTACGACCCACCTTAAGAGGCTCTACATCCCACCTTAAGAGGCTCTCAACCCCCCCTTAAAGGTCTACAAACCCCCTTTAAAAGGATCAAACGACCCCATTAAAGGTCTCGCCCTCACCTTAAGAGGTTCAGACCCACCTTAAAAGGTTCTAGACCCACCTTAAAGGATCTACGACCCACCTTAAAAGGATCTACGACCCCACCTTAAGAGGCTCTACGTCCCCCCCTTTTAAAAGGATCTACGACCCCACCTTAAGAGGATCTACGACCCACCTTAAGAGGATCTACGACCTACCTTAAGTTTTGGCCCACATCAGATGGTTCTTTCATCTTACTTTAAAGTAACTCAGACTTTCTCTCTTTTATAACCCACTCTTAGATTTTAATTGGGTATCTCTGCCCCTTCTCAAAAGGACCATTATTTTGCTCAAGTGGACCACTTCCCCCCCACCTCAGATGGACTAATACCAAACCTCAGATGAAACACTACCCCCACCACAGATGGACCACTACCCATTCATGGACCATTAGCCCACTTCAGATGGATCATTGCTCTATCTCAGATGGACCACTGTCCCATCTCAGAGGGACTGCTACCCAATCTCAGTGGACCGCTACCCCAACTCAGATGGACCACTGTCCCATCTCAGATGGACCACTACCCCAACCAGACGGACCACTGCTCCACCTCTGGTGAACCACAAGGTCCAAAAACAAAAACCTACAAGTCAAAGGGACCAGTACTGAAGATCATGTCACCGATGTCCTCCATGAGAGAGAGTGGGTCGTGTTCGCGGCCACTGATGAGGCCAGAGGAGGCCAGGAAGAGGTAATGCTGTCCTCACCGCCCAGCCTGTCTTCTCAGCGTGCTTTTGGGGGTCAGCCTTCATGCAGACAGCCACCTGAAAGCAGAACGAGACATGTTAATATCCTGGGAAAAATAAAGATTTGAATTATGTACTCGCTTGAGGTTGTAGTGGTCGAGTTACAGAAACTGTGTGCGTATACTCACCTATTTGTGGTTTCAGAGGTCGATTCATAGCTCCTGGCTCCGTCTCTTCACTGATCGCTACTAAGGCCTCTCTCTCTCCTGCTCCATGAGCTTTACAAACCCCGTCTTAAAATTATGTATGGTTCCTGCCCTCCATACGTTACTTGCCAAAATATTCCACTTCCTGTCAAACCCATGACTAAAGAAATACTTCCTACCATCCTTTGGGTCATTTTGAGTCATCCCTTCAAATTGTGACCCTTGTTTCTGTGGGTTTTATCTATAAAACATCCCTGTCTCTTTCCACTTTGTCAATTCTTCGCAGTATTTTGTATGTCCTTATCTTCTCTTTCCCTAACCCTCCTTTCCTCCAGTGTCGTCAGGCCAATTTCCCTTAACGTTTCTTTGTACGACATTCCCCTTAGCTCTGGAACCAGCCTTGTTGCAAACCTTTGCACTTTCTCTAATTTCTTGACGTGCTTAACCAGGTGTGGGTTCCAAACTGGTTCTGCATACTCCAGTATGAGCCTGAAGCGCACGGTATCGGAATCGGTATTCCCAGGTTTGCCAGGTGCCCATATGCTGCAGTAATTATGATGTGCGCTTCAGGTGTGCTCGGTATTATACTCACCAAAGATCCTTTTCCTTGAGTGAGGTTTGCAGTCTTTGGCCACCTAGCCTTTACTCCATCTGCGGTCTTCTTTGCCCTTCCTCGCTCTTCATGACTTTGCATTTGGCGGGGTTAAATTCGAGCAGACAGTTGCTGGACCAGACTTCTAGCATGTCCAGGTCTCTTTATAGTCCTGCCTGATCTTCATCTGATTTAATTCTCCTCATTAAAGTCACATCATCTGTAAACAGGGACACTTCTGAGTCTATCCCTTCCGTCATGTCATTCACATATACAAAAAATCGCACTGGTCCTGGGGCTGACCCCTGTGGAACCCCGCTCGTGACAGACGCCCACTTTGATACCTCGTCACGTACCATGACTCGTTGTTGCCTCCCTGTCAGGTATTCTCTGATCCATTGCCCCTCACAGAAGGTTCCTTGAAGTTGGTGAGGGGCTCTTGATTTAGGGAATTGGATCTGTGCTCCAGTTCCCCGAATTAAGCCTGAATGCCTTCCACATCCCCCCAGGTGCTGTATAATCCTACGGGTTTAGCGCTTTCCCTTGATTATAATAATAATAAATAATAATCTGAATCCATTGCAGTGCCCTTCCTTTTATGCGTCCCAGGTCCTGTGTGTGCGTGTGGGGGGAGGGGGTACTCACGTATTTGAAGTTGCAGGGGCCGAGTCATAGCTCCTGGCTCCGCCTCTTCACTGATCACTACTAGGTCCTCTCTCTCCCTGCTACACAAGCTTTATCAAACCTAGCCTTAAAACTATGTATGGTTCCTGCCTCCACTACGTCACTAGTCAGACTATTACACTTCCTGACAACTCTATGACTGAAGAAATGCTTCCTGAAAATCCCTATGACTCATAGGAGTCTTCAACTTTCAATTGTGACTCCTTGTTTCTGTGTCCCATCTATGGAACATCCTGTCTCTGTCCACCTTGTCTATTCATCGCAGTATTTTACACGTCGTTATCATGTCTCCACTAACCCTCCTCCAGTGTCGTCAGGCCGCGTAGTCTTGTTGCAAACCTTTGCACTTTCTCTAATTCTCTGACGTGCTTGACCAGGTTTTGTTTTGTGTTTATGTGTGTGTGTGTGTGTGTGTGTGTGTGTGTGTGTGTGTGTGTGTTAAGCGTAATTACGTATTTGTAGTTGCAGAGATCGAGTCTTAGATCCTGGCCCTGTCTCGAAAATGGTCTTCACTGGGGTCATTCTATTACGTCACAAGCACACACACACACGCGCCACACGCACACTCACTCAAACACACACACACACACAAAACACACACACACACACACCACACACACACACACACACACACACACACACACACACACACACACACACACACAAATGAGGATATCAAGTTAATGAGAATTCAATCGGTCGAGGACCAGACAGGACTATAAAGGAATCAGGACAAGCTACATGTCTGGTCCAGTAATTGGCTCCTAGAGTTCAACCCCACCAAGTGTAAAATCATGAAGATTGAGGAAGGGCAAACAAGACCGCAAACAGAATACAATCTATGTGGCCAAAGACTACAAACCTCTCTCAAAGAAAAGGATCTTGGGGTGAGTATAATACCGTGTACATCTGAGGTACACATCAACCAAATATCTACTGCAGCAGCATATGGACGCATAACAAACCTAAGAATAGCATTTCGAAATCCAGTGAGGAATCGTTCAGGACCCTATATTCCGTGTACGTTAGGCCCATGTTGTAGTATTCAGCACCAGTTTGGAACTTACACCTGGCCAAACATGTCAGGAAATTAGGGAAAGTGCAAAGGTTTCAAGCGAGACTAGTCCCGGAGCTAAGGTGCATGTCCTACGAGGAGAGGTTAAGGGAAATCAATCTGACAACTCTGGAGGACAGGAGAGAGAAGGGGGAATATGATAACGACATATAAAATACTGAGAGCAATCGACAGGGTGAACAGAGACAGGAAGTTCTAGAGATGGACACAACAACAAAGGCTCACAGTTGGAATTTGGAAACTCAAATGAGTCACAGGGATGTGAGGAAGTATTCTTGAGCCATAGAGTTGTCAGGAAGTGGAATAGTCTGGAAAGTGATGTAGTGAAGGCAGGATCCATACATAGCTTTAACAAGTGTATGATAAAGCTCATGGAGCAGGAAGAGCGACCTAGTAGCGACCAGTGAAGAGGCGGGGCCAAGAGTTGTGAATCGACTCCTGCAACCACAATTAGTTAAATACAATTTGTTAGTATATATATACATACACACACACATAGGCAGGAGAAATGAATCAACCCTGCAACCACATTTAGGCGAGTACACAGACACACAAATCCACCTGACGACACTGGGACGACAGGAGAAAAGGGAGATGGCGGACATGATAATGACATATAAAATCAGTGAGGAATTGACAAGTTGGATAGGAACGTAATGTTCTGAGATGGGACACAGCAAGAAGGGGTCACAATTGGAGGTTCAAGACTCAGATGAGGTACAAGGATGTTAGAAAGTATTTCTTCAGTCACAGAGTTGTCGGGGAGAGGAATAATCTGGAAAGTGAGGCAGGATCCATACATAGCTTTAAGAAGAGATATGTTAAAGCTCATGGAGCAGGGAGAGTGACCTAGTAGCGACCAATTAAGAGCGGGGCAGGTGCTGTGAATCGACCCTGCAACCACAATTAGGTGAGTGCACACACACACACACACACACACACACACACACCCAGGAGCTCGGACTCGACCCCCGCAACCTCAACTAGGTGAGTACACACACAAGATACACCACACTCAAACCAGCACGGTTTCAGGGATGGGAAATCCTGTGTCTCAAACCTACTGGAGTTCTATGACAGGGTGACAGCAGTAGACAAGAGAGAGAGGGGTGGGTAGATTGCATTTTCTTGGACAGTAGGAAGGAATTTGACACAGTTCCACACAAGAGATTAGTGCAAAAACTGGAGGACCAAGCAGGGATAACAGGGAAGGCACTACAATGGATCAAGGAATACCTGTCAGGAAGACAGCAGCGAGTATGGTATGAGGCGAGGTGTCAGAGTGGGTGCCTGTGATAAGTGGCGTTCTACAGGGGTCAGTCCTAGGACCAGTGCTGTTTCTGGTATTCGTGAACGACATGGCGGAAGGAATAGACTCCGAAATGTCCCTGTTTGCAGATGATGTGAATTTGATGAGAAGAATTCAATCGGACGAGGACCAGGCAGAACTACAATGGGATCTGGACAGGCTACAGGACTGGTCCAGCAATTGTCTCCTGGAGTTCAACCCCATCATGTGCAAAGTCATGAAGATTGGGGAAGGACAAAGAAGACCGCAGACGGAGTACAGTCTAGGGGGCCAGAGACTACAAACCTCACTCAAGGAAAAAGATCTTGGGGTTAGTATAACACCAGGCATATCTCCTGAAAAGCACATCAACAAAATAACTGCTGCAGCATATGGGCGCCTAGCAAACCCAAGTGCAGCATTCTGCCATCTTAATAAGGAATCGTTCAGGACCCTGTACACTGTGTACGTTAGGCCCATATTGGAGTATGCGGCACCAGTTTGGAACCCACACCTAGCCAGCATGTAACAGAAACTAGGAAAGTGCAAAGGTTTGCAACAAGACTAGTCCCAGAGCTAAAGGTAATGCCTATGAGGAGAAGTTAATGGGAAATAACCTAGGCACTGGAGGACAGGAGAGATAGGGGAGACATGATAACGACTTATAAAATACTGAGAGGAATTGACAAGGTGGACAGAAACAGGGTTTTCCCGAGATGGACACATTAACAAGAGGAACAAGTGGAATGAGAACAGGAAGATCAGGGATGTAGAAGTAGTGGGGCCAGGAGTAGTACCCGAGCACAACTATTGGGAGCGATGTATGGGTGGATCCATACATGTTCATGCCAGATACACACAAGCTACATGGCTCAGGGAGGGACCAGTAGCGGACCCACAGCCTGCAACCTCAACTAGGTAGTCACACACACACTCACACAACACACACACACACACACAGACTTGACACACACACCACACACACACACACACACACAGATGGTACACAGTAACACACACACAATGGTAACCAACACACACACACACACACAACACACACACACACACACACACACACACACACACCACACACACACACACACACACACACACACACACACACACACGATGGTAACCAACTAACACACGCACATACACACTAACACTAACAGTTTTTGTCTATGGGCTCCAGGAAGTTGAAGGGGAAACCTATGAATCAAGAAAACAGGAGAAAAAAAAGGTTGAAAGATCAAAAGCATAGGAGAGGACAACATGACCCGGTTGACAAATTTTTGGAGAATTGGGTGGTTTGCAAGAGGGAAAAAACCGGTCATTCAAAGTGATTTTCAAGGAAAAATCAGCTTGAAACATGATCCTGCAGTAGAAAGCGCAACTAAGGTACAAACCAGACTACTGGAGAGTGTACCTTGACCAAGATAGAACACAAGACGAAAGGAGGATGCTGAAAGAGAAGGCACAAAAACACAAGGAGAAATGAGAGGCAATGAGGGGGATGAGCAGGAGAACCCAGACTCAGGTGGCAGAGCAAACACAACCTCCCCCAAAAAGGAACAACAACCCAAGAACTGAAATAAAAATTCAAACCCCAGTCTTTGGCCCACCCCACAGTAACCCCCATAGGCCATCTAAACCAAAACCCCCCTACAACACCCCTCAGTCCCCCCCCTTCCCTATTGCCCAACCCCACCACACGCAATACCACAGTTAGGAAAGATATTTTGGTCAACAATCAACAAAACGATAAATGTGAGGAGTGGCATGAAAGAATCAAGGAGACATCATAGCACTCACAGAAACAAAACTCACTGGGATAATAACAGACGAAATCTTCCCACCTGGATATGAGATCTCGAGGAAAGATAGAAGGAGCGAGGGGAAGGAGGGGTTGCACTGCTCATTAAAAACCAATGGAGATTTGAGGAAATAAAAGGAAAGGACGAGACTGGAGAAAGGGATTACATAGCAGGTATATTTCAGTCTAGGGGACATAAGGTAGTCATTGCAGTGATGTATAACCCGCTATTGAACTGCAGGAAGCCAAGAGAGGAATATGAAGAAGCAACAGAGCAATGGTGGACACACTAGCTGAGGTGGCCAGAAGAGCTCAGTCGAGTAGGGCAAAGTTACTGGTTATGGGCGATTTATACCACAGGGAGATTGACTGGGAAAACCTGGAGCCACATGGGGGTCCCAAAACATGGAGAGTCAAGATGATGGATGTGGAACTGGACAGTACCAGAGAGAGAAGGGAGATTGAACCAGGAAGACTGGACCTCATGTTCACTCTGAGTAGCTCGGACATTGAGGACATCACATGTGAAAGGCCCCCATGGAGCTAGCTTTGAATACATTGTAGAGTTACAAGTGGAGAGAGTAGCAGGAGTAGAATGGGAAAAAACAAACTACAAAAGAAGGGACTACACAGCTATGGGGAACTTTCTGCTGGAGGTTCAGTGGGGAAGGGAACTGGTAGGAAGGTCGGTAAACGAGTGATGGACTAGGTAACAACAAATGCAATGAAGCAGAGGAAAGGTTTGTTCCCGAAAGCAACAGAAATAATGGGAAGAACAGAACAAGCCTTTGGTTTACCCGAAGGTGTAGTGAGGCAAAAACTAAGTGCACTAGAGAATGGAAAAAGTACAGAAGGCAAAGGACCCAGAAAAATAAAGAGATTAGTTGAAGAGTCAGAAACGAGTATGCACAGATAAGGAGGGAGGCCCAGTGACAGTACGAAAATAACATAGCATCGAAAGTCAAGTCTAACCCAAAACTTCTGTATAGCCACATCAGGAGGAAGATAACAGTCAAGGACCAGGCAATCCGGCTGAGAAAAGGTGGGGAGCTCACAAGAAACGACCAAGAAGTATGTTAGGAGCTCAACACGAGATTTAAGTATTTACAGTGGAGACAGAAAGGACTCTGAGAGGACAGAACAGAAGGGTATACCAACATGGGATGTACCAAGATGTGTTGGATGAAATACACACAACCGAGGGGGAGGTGACGAAGCTGGTAAGTGACCTTGATACTTCAAAGACGGTGGGACCGGACATCTCTCCGTGGGGTCTTAGAGAGGGAGCAGAGATGTTGTGTGTGCCACTAACCACAATTTTCAACACATCCTTTGAAACTGGGAAACTACCTGAGGTATGGAAGATGGCAGGCAAATGTAGTCCCCATTTTTAAGAAAGGAGACAGAAATGAAGCACTAAACTATAGACCAGTGTCACTGACGTGTATAGTATGCAAAGTCATGGAGAAGATTATCAGGAGGAGAGTGTTGAAACACCTGGCATGGAACAAGATTATAAACGATAACCAGCATGGATTCATGGAAGGCAAATCCTGTGTCACAAACCTACTGGAATTTTATGACAAGGTAACAGAAGTAAGATAAGAGAGAGAGAGGGGTGGGTTGATTGTATTTTCTTGGACTGCATGAAGGCCTTCGACAGAGTTCCTCACAAGAGATTAGTGGAGAAGCTAGAGGATCAGGCACATATAACAGGAAGGGACACTGCAATTGATCAGAGAATACCTGACATGGAGGCAACAACGAGCCATGGTACATGATGAGGTACCACTGTGGCCGCCTGTGATGAGCGGGGTCCCACACGGGTCAGTCCTGGGACCAGTGCTATTCTTGGTATATGTGAACGACAAGACGGAAGGGATAGACTCAGAAGTGTCCCTGTTTGCAGATGATATGAAGTTAATGAGGAGAATTAAATCAGATGAGGATCAGGCAGGACTACAAAGAGACCTGGACAGGCTGGACGTGAGGGCCAGCAACTGGCTCCTCGAATTTAACCCCGCCAAATGCAAAGTCATGAAGATCGGGAAAGGGCAAAGCAGACCGCAGACAAAGTATAGGGTAGGTGGCCAGACACTGCAAACCTCACTCAAGGAGAAAGATCTTGGGGTGAGTATAATACCGAGCACGTCCCCGGAAGCACACATAAACCATATAACTGCTGCAGCACATGGGCGCCTGGAAAACCTGAGAATAGCATTCCGATACCTCAGTAAGGAATCGTTCAAGACTCTGTACACCGTGTACGTCAGGTCCATACTGGAGTATGCAGCACCAGTTTGGAACCCACACCTGGTCAAGCACATCAAGAAATTAGAGAAAGTGCAAAGGTTTGCAACAAGGCTAGTTCCAGAGCTAAAGGGAATGTCCTACGAAGAAAGGGCAAAGTAAATCGGCCTGACGACACTGGAGGACAGGAGAGCTATTGGTGACATGATAACGACATTCAAAATACTGGGAATAGATAAAGTGGACAGAGACAGGATGTTCCAGAGAGGGAACACAGAAACAAGGGGTCACAATTGGAAGTTGAAGACTCAGATGAATGAAAGGGATGTTAGAAAGTATTTCTTCAGTCATACAGTTGTCATGAAGTGGAATAGTGTGGCAAGTGATGTAGTGGAGGCAGGAACCGTACATAGTTTTAAGGCGAGGTTTGATGAAGCTCATGAAGTAGGGAGAGAGAGGACCTAGTAGCGACCAGTAAAGAAAAGGGGCCAGGAGCTGAGTCTCGACACTTGTAACCACAATTAGGTGAGTACACACACACGCACTTCGTTAATCTAAGATCAGCATTTAGGAATCTCAGGAGAGTCATGCAAGGCTCTTTATGCAACATATATCAGGACCATCTGGGAGTATGCAGCACCAGTGTGGAACCCACGCCTGAAGAAGCTTGTTAAAAGATTGCTGGGGTATGCAACGAGGCGAAACAAGTATTGAGAATGAAATGCTAGCAGAGAATAAAATAAATGAAGCAAAGGACACTAGAAGACAGAAGAACAAGAAGAGACATTATAACAATATTCAAAATAATCCTTTCCCTACCTTCTTCCCGGCCATACACTTGAGGAAGGAGAGAAACAGTGCCCAGCTCCTTGTTGATGGGATGCTTGTCTTTGTGGACGGGGAGACACAGTGAGAGGTCACGGCACTCTTGCAGTGCCTCTCCGAGGTCAGCCTTGAGGCCGTCCTCCACGGGGAGGCTTAACAACTCCTTTCCTATGTAAGAGTAGTTGGGCAGGTTGTTGGAGGCCAACTGGAAGATAGTGAGCAATGGTGGTAGTTTTGGTAGCGATGAGAGGGGGGGAAGGGGTGTTATAGGTGATGTTATGGTGATAGTAGCAATTATAATGATGATTTTAAAACATTGATATTACTACTACTTCTACTACTACTACTACTACTACTACTAATAATAATAATAATATGGTGGACCAACCAGCTTGAGCTCCCTGAGGACGCAGGTAATGTTGCTGATCTTAGCAATGATAAGAGTCTTGAGGTTCTTGAGGTGCTCGGGAGACAACCCAGCCTCACGACGCTGCTCACACATCACAAAAAATGGTTCGACATGTCAAATTATACAGGGGTTACCACGGTAATTTAAATTTGGTGCAGTCAAATGAAGATGAAAAAGAAGTAGTAGAAGAAGAAAGATTTTGTTTGTATTATTATTCCTGAGAATTATTAGCTCAGGATAACCCTGGAAAAAATCCAGTATAGGCACATAATAGTAAAAAATAATGAATTAGCCGATGGTTACACTAAAGAAGCATTAAAATTCACTGTACCTAAAAATATAACTATTAATTTTATTGAGGTTACGCCGCTAAGTGGAATGATATGAAAAATAAGACCCCTGGATATATACACTGAGAGGTGTGTCTCAGCGAATACTGAGAGTTTCCTTTAAACTCTATTGTAGGGATGAAAGTAATCTTAACTGGTGACCAGAAGGTTACCAGCAATAAATAAGCAACCTTAATCATCCTATAAAATCGATAAATAATCTTTTCACCTCATTAACCAAGCAACCAACAAGACTCACGGATCTGGAAGCTCCTGAACTCTGGAATGGGTTGTATTGTGCGGATGGAAAGTGGGACAGCTGGGTTTGCTCTGCGAGTGTGGTCTGTAGCTGCTGGCTGTATTGGGGCTTGCTGTGCTGGGGCTGGCCAGGTGGCTGCAGTTGACTGTGCTGGGGTTGCTTTGTACTGAGGCAGCTGGTCTTGTTGAAGCAGCTGGCTGTATTGGGGCAGCTGTGACTTACCGTGCTGGGGCAGCTTGTGGCGATGCAGCTGGGACTGCCCGGGTTGCAACAGCTGGCTGTGCTGAGGCAGCTGGGACTGGCTATACTGAGGAAGGTGGCCTTGCTGGGGCAGCTGACCACTCTGGGGTGCTCCTTGCTGGGGCTGCTGCAGGGGCTGGTAGACAGGGATAGGTACGTACACTGGACGTCGGTAAGACTGCAGTCTCAGCTCATCCTGTAAAACGAACACAGTAACAGCTACCGGCCTTTTATACACAGATAGAACGAGATATATGTACAGAATGTACGAGTTAAATGTACCCACGTGTGTCATGTGGGTTCGATAACGTGGATGGGGTAAAAATATCACGTAGCTGGTTTGTACGTATAATATATAACGGGAAGTGTGGGAAGCGCCAACAGCCGACCTGCCTCTCTCTCTGCTCCCTATCTCAGACTGACCCACCAGTGCCTAGCGGGTGAGGCATTCAAAAATATGCTATGGTCAGCAGCAACATGAATAACAGTCAGTGATTCACACAGACGGTTGGTAGTGAGTCATCTACTGGTAACTGGTTACTGGTAACTGGTACTACTGAGAGCTCGGCGACGCTAATGTATGTCGTCCCGACATACAGCTAATACAAACTAGAGACGGCTGATTCTATACAATATCAAAGTACACAACAATTGAACATTATAACAAAGGAGAATTTTTGGAATGGAAGTTACGTAATTGACTATAATGAAATTATTTAAAATGCATTTAAAAGGGTTAATATGCACAATCTCGAATGAGATAAACTTTGGGGATTACATAAGAGAAAGAAAAAAAAAATTTGATCTGTATACATGTGATCTACGGATTTGGGGGAGAAATATACAAAAAAAAATTTTTAAAAGAAAGCAGTTGGGTCACTAAAAACTAGACTGTTAAATCTCAAAATTCGGAGAAAAGGGAAACAAAAAAAAAAAATTCTTGATACGAAAATTTTTGATACTGAAATTATTCTCAACGGGTTTTTTACTTTAACCCCAACTCGCTAGGGTGATTGACAATGCAAAGGGGTACTCTGGGGGACAAACTCTTTTCACTGGCTAACCTCCCGATTTGAGGCAAATCTGTTTGGTAGTTACAAATGAACTGAGATTTTCTCAATACCTGTCGTGTCGTAGGGAATAACGACATTTGGGTTTTGATCGCTACGAGTTTAAAGGGGTTTAAGATACAGGACAGGGGGATTGTCAGCTGTCACTTTAGTCGGGGTTAAAACATCATTAAAAACCACATACTAATTTTCATATGATCTAAACATTCTTTATAGACCGTACAATTTTTTAAACCCATACTTATTACCGGTGAAGTTCAACTACTCGATAAGGCCCAACAAACTTTGATAAGTTTTGGGTTTTGCAGACGTTTGTTAAAGTTATCAGCATAACTCTCGAACCTACTTTGATTTTGGAGGGGTTTTGCTCGAGTGTTTGCGACTCTTGAAATTCTGCTGTTGATTTATAATTTTTCAGGTTTCTTCAAAAACCTTTAGGCTAGGCTGGTAGAGTTGCATGAAATCATGGGGGTTGAAATTTTTTTTGGGGTTTAAAAATATAAACAACTCTTAAGGAAAACTTATCACACAGTACAACATAAATGTGGGTGTCACCTATGGAAACTTTGTAAGCAAAATTTATAGCACACTGCACATCAGGTTAACTTTTTCCAAATTTTTCACTTTTGGGGATTGATAGTGGCTCTCAAACATCAAGTATTTTCTTTTTGGTTCTTTCCCCTACCCATTTTTGGGAGGATGAGGGAACAAGGTGGATTTAAGATCTTGTACAGGTCACAAATTTTCAAAAAATTCAAAACAAAATTTCACCCCATTATCTGTTATGGGGACTCAGGGGTGTATCCCTCAGAAATGCTTTTTTAAAAAGCTTTAGCTACTTTTCCCGGCAGTTTTATCGCAATGGAACAACTCACAATTTTGTGAAAGGTTACCATAACACACAGATTTTTTTCCCCTTTTGTTGCCCAATTTGGGAAGGGCATTGGAAATTGGGGTTAAAAGTTCTACCCCCGAAAACCCTTTCTTCCCACCGGGTTTTTTCGCTAAAAGGGGGGAACACCTGTTGGAAATTTAGGACCATGGGCAATTCCCTTTTAAATTTTTGCAGAAACCAACTCTGCGATCAGAATTTCTTTTCGACAAAGTATAATTTGGTTTGGAAAATAAATCTTCCGGGGAGCGGAACGAAATACACCAGCCATATGGGGACTGTGTTACATTCTTTAATTTCTCGGGTAAAATCGCTTTTTAATACTAACTGCGCAAAGGGCACTGGTCTTGGGACTTCCAGTAAGGGTTAAAAGGGGGGAGGAATCGGAATCAACCACTGGAACCTTCGTGGTTTTTTTCTGGAAAATAAAGGTTCATTACATCTGTCGCAAACAAGACTGATAAAATTTCTGGAAAAGTGTTTAAAGAATACCTTTTGTAAAGTTCTTGCTATTCGAAAAATTTTGCTTGAAAAGGATCGGCTAGAAAAATGAACGGTTGTATTTCTCATTTTGCTTTTAAAGACCATCAATGAAAACTGCTCATTTTGTAATAGAAGGGCTTGAAAAACTGGTTTAAAAAAATTGGGACGTGGCTTTTCTTTTAGGTTTTGGGAAATGCTCTTCTGGACAAAAAAGGTCCAAACAAAAAAGGACTCTTTCTTAAGAAACTCAGGGGGAGCACTAGGGAAGAAAAATTGGCAATGAAAGATCTATAAAACCTGCAAAGCCCACAAAGGATTTTAGGATCAAGTTTGGGGTTAAAAATTTTTATATTGCAGTTACTTTACTTTGGTCATTTGAACCCCCCTAGAGTGAACGGCCCAAAAAACTTGATTTTTGACTGAAAAATTGACATTTTGACAGTTTGATCTTTAAATTTCTTTTTCAGCTTTCCAAGACTACATCAAGCTTTTTTAAGTGTGTATCCACGCTTTTTAAAATGGAAATTTCGTCACAGACACCATAATGCTTTTCCTATGAGACCTCTAAAGAATTAGTCATGAGCCTTGAGAACATATGGGGAGGATCATAATCCAAATGCCATACGGAGGAAGTGATAAAAACCTTTAAAGTGGAGAAGCGTTAGCTCTTGGGGTCCTCGTAAAAGGACTTGCCAAAACCCTTTTAACAAGTCAGGGTTGAAAAACTTTGTTATCTCCAATGTTACAAAAAATCACCCGTACAGGGGGTGGGAATGACTGGAATAGTTTTCGCATTTAAAATTCTAAAGCAAACACGGGGGCCCAATAAAATCCTTTTTGGGACTAGGGCAAGGGCGCATTCCCAAAGGGGAATTGCAGGGGCAATAACTCCCTCATCAACATTTGATTTATCAATTTTTCCCGCGACAGCAACTTGTGAATAAGGCATTCTTTTAAACAGTAATAGATAGTCTAGTACCAGGTTCAAGTGGAATACGTGGGGCAATAGTTTTGTTTAAACCCCTCTTCTCACCCCGGTAAGCAATGGTTTTTCCACGTTTTTTCAACAAGTCAACAAACGTTTTGACCTCGTTGGGGAATCAGTGGGGGGCTAAATCTTTTTTCCTCAATGGTGGAACAATTGACCGTGAAATGGATGAGGTTCCCCCGGGAAATAGCACCGACCCACTGGGAGGGACCCATCCTCTACCTGAAAAAGGGGAAGGGTAGAGAACAAGGCAACAAATTGGTATTGCTCTGAGAAAACACGTACCAAAGGGTTGTAGGAAAAAAAAGGATTTACTATCTCTTTCAACAGTAAAGGGTTTCCCAAAAAAATAGACCTTTTAAATTTGCGGGAATCATGTCAACTAGGACTTTTCACCATCTGAAAACTAGGAAAACAACAACACTCTAGTGGGGCACTAGCCACACGAAACGTCTTTCTCAGAGGCATGTGACATAACAAAAGATGGGTTACTAGTTGCAAGAATGTTTCCACAAGGGTCCCCTGTGGAGAAACACACTTGAAAAAGCAACATTTAGGATAGGGTCAGCACTCAAGTAGTCGAGCGTCCCGGACCCCCTTTAGGAAAAAGGACACTATCTCAAGTCTCATGAAGTTGCAGGAACACAGACAGGAATGCAGGATCACCATGCCGACCGCTTGGGGACGCTACGGAAAAATGCACTGGCCTGTAAGGGCTTAATCCGAAAAGTCGTACTCTGCGGGAGTATGGTAGATTGGGGTCCAAGCTGGGAAAACCCAAAAAGGACGTCAAATCACAATTTGGGGAAGCCTCGATAAAGGGGCGAGCACAAAGGGTAATCTCGCATGGGAAACAAACCCAGGAAGGGCACCAGGGAAAGTAATTGGCGACAACAAGGGAAAGGAAGCAGTAAAGTCCTACCCGGTAGAAAAAAAAAGGGAAGTCCGCTTTTGGACACCAGGTGAGAACCCGCTACTCCACTAAGGGAGGAACCCTATTTTTTTCAAAAGAGAAGGGCATGTCGTAACTGCTACCCAAACAAACAACCTAAATATTGACTTTTCGCCCAGAGTCCATGCAAAGAATGGGCGCATATGAACGAGCTTCACTATAGGGCCATGGTTTCATTGGGAAATTTTGCAAACAAAAAGGGGATTTTCACAGAAAAGATTTGTTCCATTTATCCCCCAAAAAATTCTACGCCCCAAAACGTGTGAAGCAACACCTCAGCAGGTTGTCATTTTCGAGACTACTTAAAGCTTCAAAGGAATTTTTAAACGGAAAGGGGTATCATTTTCACCCACTGCACCAGGGCGGTTTGCTGGGGGTCAAATTTCCCCCAAATTGGAAGAATGAGCCTGGTTCTGGTTGTTTGGAACCAGATTTTTTTTCCCCTACGGGGGCTGCGGTTTGGGAAAGGCCCGGAAAGACCCAGAGTACTGAAGGTTGAGAGAGCATTTCACTCAATGTGTCATCCCATTATTCTATATAGTACGTGGGAAGACTGACGGGACTCACTCAGTACGACGCCCTAGGGACTACAGGACATTTAATTGAATATGGCCAGGGAACCACAGTTTTAAACAATCCCCCATATGGTTCTGAAAGTACAAAAAACTACGAGGTTTATAATGACTCTTAAAACTGGTCCTTGGGATCGCTGCGGTAATTTACCTAAAATTATTTAATTTTTAAAATTTTTATATTATAATTTTTAAATTTTATATATTAATATATAATATATTATATAATATAATAATTTTAATTTTTTTTTTTTATTATTCCCCCCCGATTAAAAGGCAGGGGGGGGGAAAAAAAAACTTTCAATTTCCCCATACGTTTAAATTTTTTCATAAGTTTTAAATGAAATTAAATTTTTTCAAATCAGGACTTTCTCCCATTAATCAAAACCCTTTTCCCCAACCCTTATAAAGTTACTTTTCAACTAAAAACACAGTTTTTAAAAATTTTTCCTTTTTTATTTAAAAGAATTTTTGGGGGAATTAAGCCCCCCCCACACAAAAACTCCTTTACCCCCCCCCCCAAACCCCTTTCCTGGGCCAACCCCACCCCGCCTTCCTTCCACTACAGACTGATACACTCTTGAAGCCCATTCTGTTTCGCTCCATTCTCTCTACATGTCCGAACCACCTCAAAAACCCCCTTCCTCAGCCCTCTGGACAACAGTTTTGGTAATCCCGCACCTCCTCCTAACTTCCAAACTACGAATTCTCTGCATTATATTCACACCACACATTGCCCTCAGACATGACATCTCCACTGCCTCCAGCCTTCCTCCTCGCTGCAACATTCATCACCCACGCTTCACACCCATATAAGAGCGTTGGTAAAACTATACTCTCATACATTCCCCTCTTTGCCCCAAGGACAAAGTTCTTTGTCTCCACAGACTCCTAAGTGCACCACTCACTCTTTTTCCCTCATCAATTCTATGATTCACCTCATCTTTCATAGACCCCATCCGCTGACACGCCCCACTCCCAAATATCTAAATACGTTCACCTCCTCCATACTCTCTCCCTCCAATCTGATATTCAATCTTTCATCACCTATCTTTTTGTTATCCTCATAACCTTACCTTTCCTGTATTAAACTTAATTTCTCTTTGCACACCCTAACCAAATTCATCCACAATCTCTGCAACTTCTCTCAAATCTCCAAGACACATGTCATCAGCAAAGAGACTGTGACAACTCCCACTTTGTGTGTGATTTCTTATCTTTTAACTCCACGCCTCTTGCCAAGACCCTCGCATTTACTTCTCTTACAACCCCATCTATAAATATATTAAACAACCACGGTGACATCACACATCCCCTTTTCTAAGGCCTACTTTTACTGGAAAAAATTTCCCTCTTTCCTACATACCTAAAATTGAGCCTCACTATCCTCGTAAAACTCTTCACTGCTTTCAGTAACCTACCTCCTAACACCATACACTTGCAACATCTGCCACATTGCCCCCCTATCCACCCTGTCATACGCCTTTTCCAAATCCATAAATGCCACAAAGACCTCTTAGCCTTATCAAAAAACTGTTCACTTATATGTTTCACTGTAAACACCTGTCCACACACCCCCTACCCTTTTCCCAAAGCCTCCTTGTTCATCTGCATCCTATTCTCCGCTTACTCTTTAAATTTTTTCAATTATAACTCTACCATACACTTTACCAGGTACACTCAACAGACTATCCCCCCATAATTTTTGCAAATCCTTTTATCCCTTTTGCCTTTATACAAAGGAACTATGCATGCTCTCTGCCAATCCCTAGGTACCTTACCCTCTTCCATACATTTATTAAATAATTGCACCAACCACCCAAAACTACATCCCCACCTGCTTTTTAACATTTCTATCTTTATCCCATCAATCCCGGCTGCCTTACCCCCTTTCATTTTACCTACTGGGCCCCACGAACTTCCCCCACACTCACAACTGGCTCTTCCTCACTCCTACAAGATGTTATTCCTCCTTGCCCTATACACGAATTTACAGCTTCCCTATCTTCATCAACATTTAACAATCCTCAAATATTCCTTTCCTTTTTCCCAAACCTCAAAACCCCCATTTAAAAACTCTCCCTCCTATTTTTTAAATGCAAACCCCTTTTTTCTCTAGGCTTTCTAACTTTTTAATCTCACTCCAAAACTTTTTCTTATTTTCAACAAAATTTTTTGATAACATCTACCCACTCCTCATTTGCTCTTTTTTACATTGCTTCACCACTCCAAAAATTCTCCCCTTTTTTCTCCATATACCTTCCCTCCTTCATCACTTCATTTTGTAAAAACTTCTCAAATCTAACTTTTTCTCCCTTACAATTTTCCTTTACATCATCATTCCCCAATCCTCCTCCCCCCTTCCTGCACCCCAAACTTTCCTGTAACCACAAACTTCTGCGAACACTCTAACACACTTTTTTAAACCTACCCATACCTCTTCGACCCCATTGCCTATGCTCCATTAGCCCATCTCCCCTCCAAACTTTTAATCTTCCCAACTCCCCTCCTTTTTTATTTAAAAAAACCCTTTTACCCTCTCTTCCCTGATCTTCTATTCCCTTTATCCCAACTACCTTTTTACTCTCATTTGGCTAAAACTAAAAGGATCTATATATCGTGGCCCCTCAAAAAACATTACACCTGAAGTCTACTCACATTTTTTATCCCCAATACAAAACCAACAAACTACTGTCATTTCGCCCTCATCATACGTGTATACTTTTTACCTCTTTTTTTCTTAAAATTTTAAATTACCTATAACTAAACCCCTTTCATACAAAGTTCAATAAAAGGGCTCCCATTTTCATTTTACACCTGGCACCCCAAACTTACCTACCACACCCTCTCTAAAAGTTTCTCCTACTTTAGCATTTAATCCCCTACCACAATTCTCTCTCACTGGTTTAAAGGGTCCTATACATTCACTTAAAATCCCCAAAACCTCTCCTCTCCTCTGCATCCTCTTTCTCCAGGTGCAACACCTTATTTTACCCACTTTTCGCACCCAACCTTTACTTAAATCCAAAAAAATTCCTTGAATTTTCACATTTATATTCTCTTTTCTCCCTTTCCCTAAATGACATTTTTAAAATTAAGCTACCCCTTCCTTTGTCAACTCCTCAATACCCAGATTTAATCCATTTATTCCCCCCACTGAAACTCTCCTACCCCCCTTTTAGCTTTTTTTCCTTAGGGCCAGACATCCAATTCTTTTTATTTATAACATCACAATCATCGTTTCTTGTCATCCCACTACATCCCGCACATTTAAGCAACCAGTTTTAAAAGTTTTTCTTCTTCTCTTTTTTAATTGTATACAGAAAGGGTTACAGCCCATTTTCTCCCGGCATTTTTTTCGCCTCATACGCAGCATGGCTTACGGAGGGAAAAATTCTTTTCCACTTCCCCCCGGACAATAGAAAAATAAAAAAAAACAAGAGCTTTTAGAAAAAAGGAGAAAAACCTAGAGTATTATATATATATAGCATGTGCGTGTCATGAAGGTGACCAAAGTGAAGTGAGTACAAATATCCCCGTTTTCTTTCGTGTTTATGAAAAAAAAAAAGAAACCACAAACCTACCCATGCAAAAAATTAAGGGTTTTTGTTTCACAGTCACTGGCAGCGGGAACTTCCCTGGGTGGTTTCTGTCACCAAACCACTACCTAATATAATTAATTATATATTAATATATAATATATAAAAAATTTTATGCGTCCGAATATGTAAAAACTGGTCAGTTTGCAAAACTCATTTAAAAACAATCCTTTCTAAAATTTTTCTCTTATACTTTAAAAATATATTTTTTTTTTTAATGTTAATTAAAAATTTTAATTTTTTCTCCAAAAGAATCCTAAAAACTTACCTAACCTTTTATAACAAAATCAAATTTTTTTTAAAAAACCAACCCAACTAAATATAAATTTTTGATTTTTTTTTCAATAATTTATACAAAAAAAAACACAGTGAAATATATTTTTTTTCGTTAGGTTCAGAATGATTTTGGCGAAAAAATTGCATACACAAATTTTCACTTTTCCTATATGGCAAGATGACCGTTGCTATTTAAGCCAAGATGGCAAGTTCTGCCTATGGGCACGACATATATATATATAAATATATATATATATATATATATAAATATATATATAATATATATATAAAATATATATATAATATATATATATATATAATATATATACATAGATGCACTTGCATAAACTTGCTATTTTGGCTTAAATAGCAACGCTCATTTTGCCGAATAAGGCAAGCGAAAATCTGAGTATGCAATATTTTCGTAAAAATCAGTCTGAACCTAACGAAAAAAAATATATTTCATTGATTGTTTATTATTAAATTATTGTAAACTTATCTAAAATATATTTAGTTGGATTAAGCTCAATTAAATTGCGCTTGTTATAATAAGGTTAGGTAAGTTTTCTAAGGTTCTTTTGGTACAAAATTATTATCTTTTACATTAACATAAATGAAAAATATATATCTTTAAACGTTTAAGGGAAAATGTTAAAAATGACTTAATTTTAAATGAGTTCTTGCTAATTGACCAGTTTTACCTATTCAGCACGACATATATATATCCATGATTTTAACAAAATTACTGCAACTATATTAAGATTTGGTGCGTCATCGCTGAGATCAACAGGTACAGGAATGATCAATATTCACTTGGACAGGAAGACACTTACCAGGATGTATTGCATGGTCTCGAGGCACTTACCAGGATGTCTAGCAAGGTCTCGAGGCACTTACCAGAATGTCTAGCAAGGTCTCGAGGCACTTACCAGGATGTTTAGCAGCGTCTCGAGGCACTTACCAGAATGTCTAGCAAGGTCTCGAGGCACTTACCAGAATGTCTAGCAAGGTCTCGAGGCACTTATCAGAATGTCTAGCAAGGTCTCGAGGCACTTACCAGGATGTATTGCATGGTCTCGAGGCACTTACCAGGATGTATTGCATGGTCTCGAGGCACTTACCAGGATGTCTAGCAAGGTCTCGAGGCACTTACCAGGATATCTTGGAAGTCGGGTGAGATGTCAGCAGTCGGGGAGGCGTAGCACCGTTGACAGGCCGACCTGAATTGCTCCATCCATTGCTCCACTGACTCCTCTCCTAAGCAACTTGACATGATCTGCAGATAGGTAAGTAAACAAGCAAGCAAGTAAGTAAATACTTAAAGTAACTGTTTTACACAGTTCAGTTTACATGCAAAGAGCAGTCGTCGAAACACACTTCGTTTACAAGCTAAAATTTGTGTTCCTCAATCAGTTTATTTACAGTCTAAGAGCTCTTATCCTTTCTTAATTCATGCACAGACAAAGAATTGTTGTCGTACATCACTTGATTTACAAGCTAAGAGCTGTTACCGTACCTCAGCTGACTTATAAGCTAAAGGATGGTAAGAGTAAGGGAAGGTAGACGAGTAAACACAAGTAGACAAAAGAAGATATTGGTAAAGAGAAACGTAAACAGGGTCAGAGCAAATAAGACAGGCGTAGCACTGTAGACGGATAAAGAAATGTAGAAAACCAGGAAGGACTGAAGGAAAAGTAGAAAGGAATAGAGAAAATTAGACAGGTACAGCGGAGTAGACGAGGTAGAGAAAATGAAAGGAGTGGTGAAAAGTAGACAGGAGAAGATGAAAAAAGATGAGTAGGGTCGAGTAGCAGTTCTCCGCCGGGTCTCATCTTCATCGCATGACCACAGATACTAACCTTGATGAAGGCGTACTTCTTGAGGAGTGCTTGTGAGGCAGGAGGTGGCAGGAGGGGGAGCGCTGCCCCCAACACACTCAACAACACCAACACTGCAAGCATCTTGAGGGAGGAAGCAAGGAGAACCGTCAACACAACCATATATGAATGTCTTAGCTGATGTGTTCCATATATATATATATATATATATATATATATATATTATATATATATATATATATATATATATATATATTATATATATATATATATATATTTTATATATATTTATATATAATATATATATATATATATATATATATATATATATATATTATATATATATATATATATATGTATATATATATACAATAAGATCACAGAAAACAGGTGATATCAGAATATGCAAAACAACCACTGTGAAAAAAAATAGTGAAATTCCAAGCGCTTTCGTGACTTCTCACATTATCAAGGAACTATAAAAATAATACATCAAAGGAAGGCATATAAAGGGTCTAGACCACACCTCACTATTACATCCCACAACAAAGCAACACCTGACTCGCGACGACACCCGACTGAAATTGAATTGTGTCAAAAGCCTTCTTGCAGTCCAAGAAAACGCAGTCTACCCACCCCTCTCTCTCTTTCTTGTCTTATTGCTGTCATTTTGTTACAGAACTCCTGTAGGTTTGTGACACAGGATTTCCTGTCTCTGAATCCGTGCTGGTTGTCGTTGATAGGCTCATTCCTTTCTAAGTATTCCACCACTCTACTCCTGATAATCTTCTCCATGACTTTGCATACAATACATGTCAGTGATACTGGTCTGTAGTTTAATGCTTCATGTCTGTCTCCTTTCTTAAAAATTGGGACTACATCTGCTGTTTTCCATACCTCAGGTAGTCGCCCTGTTTCTATAGATATATTCAAGTGTTGTTAGTGGTACACATAGCACCGCTGCTCCCACTCTCACTCTCAGGATCCATGGAGAGATGTTATCCTGCCCCATCACTTTTGAGATATCTAGCTCGCTTTGCAGCCTCTTCACTTCTTCCTCGGTTGTATGTATTGTGTCCAACAGTTGATGGAGTACCCCACTTCTCAGTCTCTCTGGAGCCCCTTCTGTCTCCTCTGTGAACACTTCTTTGAATCTCTTGTTGAGCTCCTCACATACTTCTCGGTCGTTTCTTGTGATCCCCCCTCCTTCTTTCCTCAGCCTGATTATCTGGTCCTTGACTGTTGTTTTCCTCCTGATGTGGCTGTACAACAGCTTCGAGTCAGAAATGGCTTTCGCTGCTGTGTCATTTTCGTATTGTCGTTGGGCCTTCCTTCTTACCGGTGCATATTCATTTCTGGTTCTACGACTGCTCTCCTTATTCTCCTGGGTCCTTTGACTTCTACACATCTTCCATTCTCTAGCACATTTGGTTTTGGCCTCCCTACGCCTTTGGGTGAACCAGGGGTTCATCCTGGCTTTCTCGTTATTTCTGTTTCCCTTGGGTACAAACCTCTCCTCAGTGTGTGTGTGTGTGTGTGTGTACTCACCTATTTGTACTCACCTATTTGTGGTTGCAGGGGTCGAGTCACAGCTCCTGGCCCCGCCTCTTCGCTGATTGCTACTAGGTCCTCTCTCTCTCTGCCCCATGAGCTCTATCATACCTCGCCTTAAAACTATGTATGGTTCCTGCCTCCACCACATCACTTTCTAGGCTATTCCACGGCCTGACTACTCTATGACTGAAGAAATACTTCCTAACATCCCTTTGATCATCTGAGTCTTCAACTTCCAATTGTGACCTCTTGTGTCTGTGTCCCATCTCTGGAACATCCCGTCTTTGTCCACCTCGTCTATTCCGCGCAGTATTTTATATGTCGTTATCATGTCTCCCCTGACCCTCCTGGCCTCCAGTGTCGTCAGGCCGATTTCCCTCAACCTTTCTTCATAGGACAATCCCCCTAGCTCTGGGACTAGTCTTGTTGCAAACCTTTGCACTTTCTCTAATTTCTTGACGTGCTTGACTAGGTGTGGATTCCAAACTGGTGCTGCATACTCCAGTATGGGCCTGACGTAGATGGTGTACAGAGTCTTAAACGAATCCTTACTGAGGTATCGGAAACGCTATCCGTAGGTTTGCCAGGCGCCCGTATGCTGCAGCAGTTATCTGATTGATGTGCGCCTCAGGAGATATGCTCGGTGTTATACTCACCCCCAGATCTTTTTCCTTAGTGATGTTTGCAGTCTTTGGCCATCTAAACTATATTGTGTGTGTGTTGTGTGTGTGTGTGTGTGTGTGTGTGTGTGTGTGTGTGTGTGTGTGTGTGTGTGTGTTGTGTGTGTGTGTGTGGGTGTGTGTGTGTGTGTGTGTGTGTGTGTGTGTGTGTGTGTGTGTGTGTGTGTGTGTGTGTGTGTTGTGTGTGTGTGTGTGGGTGTGTGTGTGTGTGTATGTACTCACTTAGTTGTAGTTGCAGGGGTTGAGTCACAGCTCCTGGCCCCGAGTCTTCAACTGGCCACTACCCAGTCACTCTTCCTGCTCCATGAGCTTTCTCATACCTCTTCTTAAAGCTATGTATGAATCCTGCCTCCACTACATCACTAGCCAGGCTATTCTACTTCTTGACATCTCTGTGACTGAAGAAATACTTCCTAACATCCCTCTGGTTCATCTGAGTCTTAGCTTCCAACTGTGACCCCTTGTCGCTGTATCCCATCTCTGGAACATCCTGATTCTGTCCACCTTGTCTATACCTCTCAATATTTTGTATGTCGTTATCATATCCCCCCTAACTCTTCTGTCTTCCAGTGTCGTCAGGTCGATTTCCCTTAACCTCTCTTCATAGAACATACCCCTTAGCTCCTGGACTAGTCTTTTTGCAAACCTCTGCACTTTTCTAGTTTCCTTACATGCTAGGCTAGGTGAGGGTTCCAAACTACAGCTGCATATTCCAATAGGGGCCTAACGTACACAGTGTACAGGGTCCTGAAAGACTCCTTATTTTGATGTCGGAATGCTGTTCTTAGGTTTGCCAGGCGCCCATGTGCTGCGGAAGTTATTTGGTTGATGTGCGCCTCAGGAGATGTTCCCGGTGTTATACTCACACCAAGATCCTTTTCCTTGAGTGAAGTTGGTAGGCTCTGGCCCCCTAGACTGTAGTCTAAGGGGAAGGGGGACAAAAGAGATTGCAAAAATTATAGAGGAATAAGTTTACTGAGTATACCAGGAAAAGTGTACGATAGGGTTATAATTGAAGAATTGGAGGTAAGACAGAATGTAGGATTGCGGATGAGCAAGGAGGTTTCAGAGTGGGTAGGGGATGTGTAGATCAAGTGTTTACATTGAAGCATATATGTGAACAGTATTTAGATAAAGGTAGGGAAGTTTTTATTGCATTTATGGATTTAGAAAAGGCATATGATAGAGTGGATAGGGGAGCAATGTGGCAGATGTTGCCGGTATATGGAATAGGTAGAGAGTTACTAAATGCTGTGAAGAGTTTTTATGAGGATAGTGAGGCTCAGGTTAGGGTGTGTAGAAGAGAGGGAGACTACTTCCCGGTAAAAGAAGGTCTTAGACAGGGATGTGTAATGTCACCATGGTTGTTTAATATATTTATAGATGGAGTTGTAAAAGAAGTAAATGCTAGGGTGTTTGGGAGAGGGGTAGGATTAAATTATGGGGAATCAAATACAGAATGGGAAGTGACACAGTTACTTTTAGCTGATGATACTGTGCTTATGGGAGATTCTAAAGAAAAGTTGCAAAGGTTAGTGGACGAGTTTGGGAGAGTGTGCAAAGGTAGATATATATATATATATTATATATATATATATATATATATATATATATATTATATATATATATATATATATATATATATATATATATATATATGCGTGTGTGAGTGTGTGTGTGTGTGTGTGCGTGTGTGTGTGTTGTGTGTGTGTGTGTGTGTGTGTGTGTGTGTGTGTGTGTGTGTGGTGTGTATGTGTTGTGTGTGTGTGTGTGTGTGTGTGTGTGTGTGTGTGTGTGTGTGTGTGTGTGGTGTGTTGTGTGTGTGTGTGTGTACTCACCTGTTTGTGGTTGCAAGGGTCGAGTGTGTATATGTGTGTGTTTGTGTGATAAATCTTAACGTTTACAGTAAAGAATCGTGTTTTCTTAAGCTTGTGTGAAATGACGCAAGGAGCTCACACCTTCTCAGCTTCTTAAGCAATAGAGCAATTAGTTTACCTGTAGTTTACCTAGAGAGAGTTTTGGGGTCAACGCCCCCGCGGCTAGGTCTGAGACTAGGCCTCGTGGTGGATCAAGGTCTGATCAAGCAGGGTGTTACTGCAGGCCGCACACAAACGGACGTACGAACCACAGCCCGGCTGGTCATGTACTGACTTTAGAAGTCTGTCCAGTGCTTTCTTGAAGATAGTCAGGGGGGTCTATTGGTAATCCCCCGTATGTATGCTGGGACGCAGTTGAACAGTCTTGGGCCCCTGACACTTATTGTGTTGTCTCTCAGTGTACTCGTGGCACCCCTGCTTTTCATTGGGGAAATGTTGCATCTCCTGCCGAGACTTTTGCTTTCATAGGGAGTGATTTTCGTGTGCAAGTTTGGTATTAACCCCTCAAGGATTATCATGTATCTCTCGCCTGCATTCCAGGGAATACAAATCAAGGAATTCAACGGTTCCCAGTAATTTAGGTGCCTTATCGTACTTATGTGTGCTGTGAAAGTTCTTTGTACACTGTCCAGGTCAGCAATTTTGCCAGCCTTGAAGGGGACAGTTAGTGTACAACATTATTCCAGCCTAGAGAGAACAAGCTATTTGAAGAGAATCATCATGGGCTTGGCGTCCCTAGTTTTGAAGGTTCTCATTATCCATCCTATCATTTTTCTAGTAGATGCTGTAGATACATTGTTGTTGCCTCTGAAGGCGACATCCTCTGACATTATCACTCCCAGGTCCTTCACATTATTTTCTCGCTCTATTGCATGGTTAGAATGTATTGTATACCCTGATACAGTTTTGTTATTCTTACGTTTTCCATATCTGAGTAGTTAATAAAAAAACAGGATAATGTTGAAGCTTTGACTAGAAAGACGATGTTTGAAACAATGGATCTGGTAACTTAAATATAGAAACAAAACCAACTTTGTCATCGCCTGGGACTCGACGATCAGAGGAGATATGACAACAACATGAAAGTGCAGAGACTTCGAGCAGACAACACATGTTGACAATGAACACAGAACATCTCGAGAATATAAAAACATCTTCACTATTTGGAACACCAGGTGAGAGTAGTGAGTGTGTGGAACACCAGGTGAGAGTAGTGAGTGTGTGGAACACAAGGTGAGAGTAGTGAGTGTGTGGAACACCAGGTGAGAGTAGTGAGTGTGTGGGCACACCAAGTGGAGTAGTAGTGGGGTGGAACACCAAGTGAGAGTAGTGATTTGGTGGAAACACCAAGTGAGAGTGGGTGGTGTGTGGAACACCAGGTGAGAGTAGTGAGTGTGTGGAACACCAGGTGAGAGTAGTGAGTGTGTGGAACACCAGGTGAGAGTAGTGAGTGTGTGGCACACCAGGTGAGAGTAGTGAGTGTGTGGAACACCAGGTGAGAGTAGTGAGTGTGTGGAACACCACGTGAGGGTAGTGAGTGTGTGGAACACCAAGTGAGAGTAGTGAGTGTGTGGAACACCATGTGAGGGTAGTGAGTGTGTGGAACACCACGTGAGGGTAGTGAGTGTGAGGAACACCAAGTGAGGGTAGTGAGTGTGAGGAACACCACGTGAGGGTAGTGAGTGTGAGGAACACCAAGTGAGGGTAGTGAGTGTGTGGAACACCAAGTGAGAGTAGTGAGTGTGTGGAACACCAAGTGAGGGTAGTGAGTGTGAGGAACACCAAGTGAGAGTAGTGAGTGTGTGGAATGTCAAGTGAGGGTAGTGTGTGGAACATCAAGTGAGGGTAGTGTGTGGAACACCAAGTGAGGGTATGGAGTGTGTGGAACACCAAGTGGAGTAGTGAGTGTGTGGAACATCAAGTGAGAGTAGTGAGTGTGTGGAACATCAAGTGAGAGTAGTGAGTGTGTGGAACATCAAGTGAGAGTAGTGAGTGTGTGGAACATCAAGTGGGATTTGAGTGTGGGGAACATCAAATGAGAGTAGTGAGTGTGTGGAACATCAAGTGAGAGTAGTGAGTGTGTGGAACATCAAGTGAGAGTAGTGAGTGTGTGGAACATCAAGTGAGAGTAGTGAGTGTGTGGATACGTTTAAGTGAGAGTAGAGTGTGTGGAACATCAAATGAGAGTAGTGAGTGGTGGAACTCAAGTGAGAGTAAGTGATGTGTGGAACATCAAGTGAGAGTAGTGAGTGTGTGGAACATCAAGTGAGAGTAGTGTGTGGCACACCAGGTGAGAGTAGTGAGTGTGTGGAACATCAAGTGAGGGTAGTGAGTGTGAGGAACACCAAGTGAGGGTAGTGAGTGTGTGGAACCAAGTGAGACTAGTGATGTGTGGGGAACACCATGTGAGGGTAGTGATGTGTGGAACACCAAGTGAGAGTAGTGAGTGTGTGGAACACCAAGTGAGAGTAGTGAGTGTGTGGAACACCATGTGAGGGTAGTGAGTGTGTGGAACACCACGTGAGGGTAGTGAGTGTGAGGAACACCACGTGAGGGTAGTGAGTGTGAGGAACACCAAGTGAGAGTAGTGAGTGTGTGGAACACCATGTGAGGGTAGTGAGTGTGTGGAACACCACGTGAGGGTAGTGAGTGTGAGGAACACCAAGTGAGGGTAGTGAGTGTGAGGAACACCACGTGAGGGTAGTGAGTGTGAGGAACACCAAGTGAGGGTAGTGAGTGTGTGGAACACCAAGTGAAAGTAGTGAGTGTGTGGAACACCATGTGAGGGTAGTGTGTGGAACATCAAGTGAGGGTAGTGAGTGTGTGGAACACCAAGTGAGGGTAGTGAGTGTGAGGAACACCAAGTGAGAGTAGTGAGTGTGTGGAACCCAAAAGTGAGAAGTGAGTGTGGGGAAAACACCAAGTGAGGGAGGGAGTGTGAGGAACACAAGTGAGAGTGGGTGAGTGTGTGGAATATCAAGTGAGGGTAGTGTGTGGAACATCAAGTGAGGGTAGTGTGTGGAACACCAAGTGAGGGTAGTGAGTGTGAGGAACACCAAGTGAGGGTAGTGAGTGTGTGGAACACCAAGTGAGAGTAGTGAGTGTGTGGAACACCATGTGAGGGTAGTGTGTGGAACATCAAGTGAGTGTAGTGAGTGTGAGGAACACCAAGTGAGAGTAGTGAGTGTGTGGAACACCAAGTGAGAGTAGTGAGTGTGTGGAACACCAAGTGAGGGTAGTGAGTGTGAGGAACACCAAGTGAGAGTAGTGAGTGTGTGGAACACCAAGTGAGAGTAGTGGTGTGTGGAACCCCAAAAGTGAGGGTAGTGTGTGGAACATCAAGTGGGGTAGTGAGTGTGAGGAAACCAAGTGAGGGAAAGTGAGTGTGGGGAAACCCACCAAGTGAGAGTAGTGGTGTGTGGAACACCAAGTGAGGAGTGAGTGTGTGGAACACCAGTGAGGGTAGTGTTGTGGAACACCAAGTGGGGTAGTGAATGTGAGGAACACCAAGTGGGGAATAGTGAGTGTGTGGAACACCAAGTGAGATTTAGTGAGTGTGGTGGAAAAACCATGTGAGGGTAGTGTGTGGAACATCAAGTGAGTGTAGTGAGTGTGAGGAACACCAAGTGAGAGTAGTGAGTGTGTGGAACACCAAGTGAGAGTAGTGAGTGTGTGGAACACCAAGTGAGGGTAGTGAGGGGGGAGGAACACCAAGTTGAGAGTAGTGGTGTGTGGAACACCAAGTGAGAGTAGTGAGTGTGTGGAACACCAAGTGAGGTTGTAGAGTGTGGGGAACACCAAGTGAGAGTAGTGAGTGTGTGGAACACCAAGTGAGAGTAGTGAGTGTGTGGAACACCAAGTGAGGGTAGTGTGTGGAACATCAAGTGAGGGTAGTGAGTGTGAGGAACACCAAGTGAGGGTAGTGAGTGTGAGGAACACCAAGTGAGAGTAGTGAGTGTGTGAACCCCAAGTGAGAGTAGTGAGTGTGTGGAACACCAAGTGGGGAGTGTGTGGGAACACCAAGTGAGGGTAGTGAATGTGAGGAACACCAAGTGAGTGTAGTGAGTGTGTGGAACACCAAGTGAGGGTAGTGAGTGTGAGGAACACCAAGTGAGAGTAGTGAGTGTGTGGAACACCAAGTGAGAGTAGTGAGTGTGTGGAACACCAAGTGAGGGTAGTGTGTGGAACATCAAGTGAGGGTAGTGAGTGTGAGGAACACCAAGTGAGTGTAGTGTGTGGAACACCAAGTGAGAGTAGTGAGTGTGTGAAACACCAAGTGAGAGTAGTGAGTGTGTGGAACACCAAGTGAGAGTAGTGAGTATGTGGAACACCAAGTGAGGGTAGTGTGTGGAACACCAAGTGAGGGTAGTGTGTGGAACACCAAGTGAGAGTAGTGAGTGTGTTGAGCACCAAGTGAGGGAGTGGGGAAACCCCAAAGTGAGGGTGGTGAGTGTGTGGAACACCAAGTGAGGGTAGTGTGTGGAACACCAAGTGAGGGTAGTGAGTGTGTGGAACACCAAGTGAGGGTAGTGTGTGGAACACCAAGTGAGGGTAGTGAGTGTGTGGAACACCAAGTGAGGGTAGTGTGTGGAACACCAAGTGAGGGTAGTGAGTGTGTGGAACACCAAGTAAGGGTGGTGAGTGTGTGGAACACCAAGTGAGGGTAGTGAGTGTGTTGAACACCAAGTGAGGGTAGTGTGTGGAACACCATACTTGGGGCTCCAGGTAAGATTATAAAATCTTTTACCTGAAATCTTAGTCGATGACTGTTGAATAAGAGACCGAGTCCAAGACCTGGGGTCCAGGACCTTCAAGTCAAGTGAACAGAAGTGTTAGACGAAGATATACGAAATCTAGAGGCCAGGACCTAGAATTTCAGGAGCTAGAACACAGTGTGTGGGTTAGTGACCGGGTGAGGGAGGGAGGTGGGGTTGTTCCTCTCATGGGGAAGGTAGGGAGGGTAGTGGGTTGGAGTGGTAGCTTACCTTGACGAGTAACTGAAGACGTCTGTCTGTCCTTGCAAGACGTTGGAGACTTATATACTCTTCCTTCGTCCCTCCCCACCTCCCTCTTCACATTTTCCCCCTCCCTCCCTCTCTACTTACCTCTCTGTACCTATCTTTCCCTTTTCCTAGCTCTTCTTCCTTTGCTCTCACTCTTTATCCTGGTCACTTTTTCACTTACGTTTCGTCCTCTTTTCCGGTCACCCCCCATCCCCAACACATACTCTCACTCCACTTTCTCTGCTTCACTCTTGTTTCTCTCTCCTCTCTCTCTCTCTCTCTCTCTCTCTCTCTCTCTCTCCTCTCTCTCTCTCTCTCCTCATCTCTCTCTCTCTCTCTCTCTCTCTCTCTCTCTCTCTCTCTCTCTCTCTCTCTCTCTCTCTCTCCCTCTCTCCCTCTCTCTCTCTCTCTCTCTCTCTCTCTCTCTCTCTCTCTCTTTCTAATGCCCGTCCCTGGTCTCTCTTGATCACTATCTGTCTCTCGTTGTTGCTTTCCTCAGAGAGAATTTCTTCATGTGCTCTGACTAGTCGAGTGTTGAACCTTAGGACATTCTCAGGCTTAGACAGAAGGAACATTGCTGCAGGCCTGTTGGCCCATACTAGATCGGTCCTTTTCAACCCGAAACCCACTAACAAATATATTTGTCCAACCCATTATCAATGCTACTCAAGGAATAACTTTGATACCCCTATTAATTCATGTGCAAGTCCAACTCAAATCCAACTCCTCTTACACTTGTATTTATATAACCTAAATCTGAAGCTACCCAAGGTTTTAGCTTCAATAACCCTACTAGGCAGACTATTCCACTCATTCACCACCTTACTTTTACACCAATAATTTCTCATATCCTTTCTAAATGTAAACTTGTCCAAGTTGAATCTATTATTTCCGGACATGCTTGATCACACTTGTGCTGTGTGCTGGTAATGTTCATGACATGTTTTCTTGGTAAGTAAGACACAGGCAACAGTTAGGCATCTTTATTCCGAAACGTTTCGCCTGCACAGTAGGCTTCTTCAGTCGAGTACAGAAGGTAGGCAGGAGCAGTAGAGTCCATCACCCTTGAAGACGTAGATTTGAGGTTGTCAGACCCTCAGCCTGTAGAAGTGTTCTGTTGGTAATAAAGATGCCTAACTCTTGCTTATGTGTCTTACTTACCAACATGTTGGTATTGTATACCATTTTGATAGTCAAAGGTATTCTTACACAGTCACGAGTCGTGCATATGTTGCTGTGGTTATTCTGATGGTGTGCATCTCAGGTGATATGCTTGATACTTTGTTTATAATACTTGAACAACGTGTTATGGGGGCTGCTAGAGTGAATATCAAACTGTTTTGTTTGATGATATTTCTAAGTTTTACTGTATACGGTTCAAAGCATCTGTGCTTAACGTTTTTGTGGAACAATAGTCTGAATATATTGCACTCCATTAAGTGGGAGTGGGAGCTACGGAGCTGCACTCACTAGGCACTGAGGTTTGCCATTCTACTGGCGTATTTGTGTTTCTCTAGACAGCATTTGACGTGCTGTTGGAGTTCGAGCAAGGTAACATTTATGATGGGATTCAAGGAAACCGGCAGGCCGGACTTGAGTCCTGGAGGTGAGAAATACAGTGTCTGAGAAGTACAGTTTCAGTTTTATAACTGTAGTGTAGGCGCGCCTCTGGCGTGAGAGTGATGGAGTGAATGATGATTGAAAGTGTTTCTTCTTTTTCGGGTCACCCTGCCTTGGTAGGAGACGGCCGATGTGTTAATAAATAATAATAATAAAAAAGTAGATGAATAGGTAAACTCTGGCTGATTCCCAGACGTAGAGCAAGTTGTAGTCTACACAGGGACTGTTGTAAACCCGCGTCCTTGAGTTCGGCGTGTGGCTTGGAGATCCTCTTAAAGTCTGGTATAATCTTTGTAGTGACCACTGCGAGGTCTGTGCTGGACTTAAGTAAAATGTAGCATGCTGTGTTGGTTGTGGTCTTATGGGTAGCACGGATCACGGTCGTTATGGTCGCCTCCAGCGATGTGCTCAATATTATGCTCATGTGCGTCTCAGATCATGTGCTTAGTACAGTGCTTACGCTAATTCCTCATTCGATTTTTAAGGTTTATAGTCTCTCTCCCACAGTACGTATTCCATTTCCGGTATTCTTTCTTCCTCCCCCCCGTTTCCCATAAACTCTCAAGGTCTTCTTGTATCAAGTTGAATCAAGGTAACGGTTGATTTAATCAATTATTCAGGACGTCCAGATCATCAGTCATTCAAGACGTCCAAACATCAGTTTTACACACAAAGATTGATACATGTGTTACGCAAAAGTACAGTAATGATACCATAGCTCTGTACAGTGAGTACACAGAGTGAGACGATCTGTACCTTACTGTTTGTCTTCCCATAGTCCTCCACCCTGATACCTCCACACTGATACCTCCACACTGATACCTCCACACTGATACCTCCACACTGATACCTCCACCCTGATACCTCCACCCTGAGACCTCCACTCTGATACCTCCACTCTGATACCTCCACCCTGATACCTCCACACTGATACCTCCACCCTGATACCTCCACCCTGATACCTCCACCCTGATACCTCCACCCTGATACCTCCACCCTGATACCTCCACTCTGATACCTCCACCCTGATACCTCCACTCTGATACCTCCACACTGATACCTCCACCCTGAGACCTCCACTCTGATACCTCCACACTGATACCTCCACACTGATACCTCCACCCTGATACCTCCACCCTGATACCTCCACCCTGATACCTCCACTCTGATACCACGTCCACACTGATACCTCCACCCTGATACCTCCCACTCTGATACCTCCACACTGATACCTCCACCCTGATACCTCCACTCTGATACCTCCACACTGATACCTCCACCCTGATACCTCCACTCTGATACCTCCACACTGATACCTCCACCCTGACACCTCCACCCTGATACCTCCACCCTGATACCTCCACCCTGATACCTCCACCCTGATACCTCCACTCTGATATTTCCACCCTGATACCTCCACTCTGATATTTCCACCCTGATACCTCCACCCTGATACCTCCACCCTGATACCTCCACCCTGAGACCTCCACTCTGATACCTCCACTCTGATACCTCCACTCCGATACCTCCACTCTGATATTTCCACCCTGATACCTCCACTCTGATATTTCCACCCTGATACCTCCACTCTGATATTTCCACCCTGATACCTCCACTCTGATATTTCCACCCTGATACCTCCACTCTGATATTTCCACCCTGATACCTCCACTCCTATGCCTCCACTCTAATATTTCCACCCTGATACCTCCACTCTGATACCTCCACTCTGATATTTCCACCCTGATACCTCCACTCTGATATTTCCACCTTGATACCTCCACTATGACACCTCCACCCTGATACCTCCACTTTGATATTTCCACTCTGATACCTCCACTATGATACCTCCACTGCCTGATACCTCCACCTTGATATTTCCCCCCTTGATACCTCCACTATGATACCTCCACCCAGATACCTCCCACTTTGACATTTCCACCCTGATACCTCCACTCTGATATTTCCTCCCTGATACCTCCACTGTGATACCTCCACCCTGATACCTCCACTTTGATATTTCCACCTTGATACCTCCACTATGATTCTTCCACCCTGATACCTCCACTTCGATATTTCCACCTTGATACCTCCACTCTGATACCTCCACTCTGATACCTCCACTCTGATACCCCCACTTTGATATTTCCACCCCGATGCCTTCACCCCCCGATACCTCCACCCTGATACCTCCACCTTGTCACCTCCCTGATCACCTCTGTCTTGATACCTCCACCTTGATACCTCCACCCTGATACCTCAATTCTGATACCTCCACCCTGATACCTCCACCCTGATACCTCTATACTGATACCTCCACCCTGACATCACTCTTATACCTCCACCCTGACACTACTCTGATACCTCCACCCTGGCACCACTCTGATACCTCCACCCTGTCACTACTCTGATACCTCCACCCTGACACCACTTTGATACCTCCACCCTGACACTACTCTGATACCTCCACCCTGACATCACTCTGATACCTCCACCCTGACACCACTTTGATACCTCCACCTGACACTACTCTGATACCTCCACCCTGACATCACTCTGATACCTCCACCCTGACACTACTCTGATACCTCCACCCTGACACCACTCTGATACAGCCACTCTGATATTTCCACCCTGATACCTCCACTCTGATACCTCCACCCTGACATCACTCTGATACCTCCACCCTGACACTACTCTGATACTTCCACCCTGACACCACTCTGATACCTCCACCCTGACACCACTTTGATACCTCCACCCTGACACTACTCTGATACCTCCACCCTGACATCACTCTGATACCTCCACCCTGACACTACTCTGATACCTCCACCCTGACACCACTCTGATACCGCCACTCTGATATTTCCACCCTGATACCTCCACTCTGATACCTCCACCCTGACATCACTCTGATACCTCCACCCTGACACTACTCTGATACTTCCACCCTGACACCACTCTGATACCTCCACCCATGACACCACTTGATACCTCCACCCTGACACTACTCTGATACCTCCACCCTGACATCACTCTGGTACCTCCACCCTGACACTACTCTGATACCTCCACCCTGACACCACTCTGATACCGCCACTCTGATATTTCCACCCTGATACCTCCACTCTGATACCTCCACCCTGACATCACTCTGATACCTCCACCCTGACACTACTCTGATACTTCCACCCTGACACCACTCTGATACCTCCACCCTGACACTACTCTGATACCTCAACCCTGACATCACTCTGGTAACCTCCACCCTGACACCCACTCTGATACCGCCACCCTGACACCACTCTGATACCGCCACTCTGATATTTCCACCCTGATACCTCCACTCTGATACCTCCACCCTGACACTACTCAGA